GCGATTCGCCAATTTGGCGAATGTCACACTAGTAATTCACCAATTTGGCGAATGTCACACTAGGAATTTCACCAATATAAATGAGTTGAATTGTAACTCAAATGTAATAATTCATATTTTTAGGGTATGGGTGTGGGGTGTGGGGATGGGGGTGTACATCTTCTCATCACACCCCACACCCACACCCTGCACCCTACACCCACACCTACACCCCGCACCCACACCCCACACCCTGCACCCTACACCCACACCTACACCCCACACCCACACCCCACACCCTGCACCCTACACCCACACCTACACCCCACACCCACACCCTGCACCCTACACCCACACCTACACCCCACACCCACACCCGCACCCACAAAAGTCAATTAAAATCGATTTTTTTCATCAAATTTTAATCGAATATAATCGAAATTAATCAGAATTAATCGAAATCATGTATGAAATTTTGATTTTTTTTGATTATTTTTGAATAAAAATCGATTAAAAGGTACATGATTTTAATCGATTTTTAATCAGTTTTTAATCGATTTTAATCTGATTTTACCTCTAATTTTTTTACATGGATTATTTATTTGAAATAAAAATGATTGCACACAACTAATAAGTCGTACTTCCAATGATTACAATTGGCGAATGTGATACTAGTAATTCACCAATTGGCGAACACAGTAATATGAAAATATTTTATTTATTGGCGAATGTCACACTAGTAAATCGCCAATTGGCGAACACAGTAATGTGAAAATGTTTTATGTATTGGCGAATGTCACACTAGTAATTCGCCAATTGGCGAAATTTGTGAGGAAGTTCGCCAATGGCGAATATATAATTGGCGAAATTCACAATTGGCGAAATTACAGAGACTCTAATGGGCGATCTACATGTTAATTAAACAATTCATTAATTGCGATATAAAATCGAACAATTATTTAAAATTAAACTTTTTTTTCTATTTGAATTATGTAAAAGTTTTATGTTCGTAAATTTGTGATCCAAGTTAAATTTTTTATTCAACGATTTTTTTTTGCGTTTATAAATCAGTTTTATTAAAAGTAAAATCAAATAAAAATATATTGCCTAAATAAATTGAAGTTATTCTTCTTGAATAAAACACATGCGATCAGCAAACTCAATTAAGTTAATTATGTCTATACAATGTTGTCATTTGACTCGAATCCTTTCATCTCTCCTTTTATCTTTAAAAAAATCCGATGATTGTTATTTATTCATTAGAATAAATTAAAACCTTTTCCAGAAAAGAAGTAGCTAAATGTGTACAAACACAATTAAATATTGAATATTCTAAACGAGCATTTAAAACAATTGAAAATTCAAATGAAATTGAACAATTATCATCCGGTCTTGGATGTTTATTAGTTGTACAAGCTCGTTCTATATTAACAATGAAATCAATTGTTGAAAAATTAAATGAAGATTTAGAAAAACATCTTAAAACTGTATTTATTCTTTTTCTTTTTATTATTTAAAATAAATAAGTTTAATTAAATAGATAAAAGAAAGATTAATTCGTGAACATCCAATAAAATCTAAAAATAAATCATTGGATTGAAAAAATATTATTTCAAGAAAGAATTAATTATATTCATCAACATGAATGGGATGCACATCAATTATCAATCGAACAACGTAAATCGTTAAGAAACCCACAAGCGGTATATTTTATTCAAAGAGATTTAATATTTCGAAAAGATGTAATGAGAATTAATTAATAAAAAACAATTTAATACTTAAGTAGTTATTTTCTAGCATGAATCAATTTTTTGTCTTGATCTTAAATCACCTGTTGAACCAATTCGAACAATTGTATGTGGTCGATCAATATGATTTTCAAGTAAAATACTTTTTTGTCTGTTTATTTTTTATTTTTATTGTAATTTTGCAAAAAGGAAATTGGATTGTTGAACGACCATATCCATTACCTGTCGAGCGAATTCTAATACAATTTGCTAAATATACACATTAGCAGAAGATGAAGAAACTCGAAGAAGATCAATTAATTCTGATTTAAATTATTATCATCCTTTTTAAATATTATTAGTTTTTTTTTATTCTAGCTAGATGCACAATATAAACTTCGTAAAAGAAAAACTTATTCAACAACAATCAGATATCCATTTTGAAGATGGAAATTATTTGCATTTCGAACATATTGTTGGCTTTCAAATACAATTTATGCATTTATGTGTATGAAAACAGTCTATTTTATTCAATAATTTATGTATTTATTTTCTTTTTTATTTAGCTTCTTGTTCCATTTGCTAGTCCAGTTAGCTTTCGAGCTTCATTTTCTTCACAACCATTTCAAAATGATTATGAATTAAATCGAAATGATGTATGTAAAATAAAAAAAGATGAATATTTTTTTAAAGTTTTTGTTTTTAGTTAAAACTTTATGAAGATCCAAGTTCAAAAAAGCAAACATTTATTTCACGTCTTGTTGCATTTTGCAATCATGTAAGACGATCAAGACAAAAATTTGAACAAACACCTGATCGAGATAAAATAAAAATCGCTATTATTGAAAAGATTTACTAACAAGGGAACTACTCCAGGTGACACCCACTGTTTGAGCTCATATTGGACTCACAAGAAGCTCTCATTAAGACTAGAAAAGTCTAAAAAGGTTTGTCCCCATGGGCTTTCGAAGCCGAGTTATGACCGTTACTATCGTTGTCATGACTACTTTCCTCATCTAGATGTAAGCAAAAATATTTCTGAGTTATAGAAACACTCATGTACTTGTTTTTTGTATTTCAGAAGTAGAATTTCTAATTGAATTTATTTTATAAATGAAATTCAAAAGTTTGAAATTTCTATCACATTAACTTTTAGCTCAATCATGGATGTTGATTGAATAAACTTCTGTGATGTGTTATAACCTATAAACAACTTAGAACATAATATAAAAATTTTGTTTGTGATTTTTTTTTGTGAAAAGATAATAATATATAAGTTTGAATTATTTAAATATTATGGTCAAATATTATTGTTATGTATATTTAATGACTAAACAATATCTTTCAGACAAATTGGTTTGATACTAAATTGAGTACTAATAGTGTTTTTGAGTTTGTAGATAATTTTTTTTTATGAATATTATTTCGTTCTTGTTCAATTGTACATTTTAAAAGTTATTTTAAACTTATTATGGTCAGTACAAAAAAAAAAGGTATTGAATATTAAAAAATATTCCAAGATTTCAGTCAAACTCGATCTTTCTTCATAATAAGAATGTTTAGCTCTTTATTGCATAGAAAATCATATCTATTTCCAATCAAATATAGTTTTATTTTTATAAATCATAATCAAGTTTAACAATAGAAAAAAAAGTATCTTCTTGAATAATATCATTCATGATTAATAAATACGTATAGTTTTATCATTTTATTATTTGATCCATATTTGAATTGAACTATCTGAATCTGGATCTTTTTCAATAAAACAAGTTGTTAGCAAATGATCTTTTAACCATTGAACAGCTTCATTTTTATTTATTGCTTTTATATTGAGAAATTTATGATTTCTGTTTGATATTAAAAAAATATTCAGAAGTCTTTTCATATGTAAATTTAACAAATAATACTCGAATATTGATCATATTTTTACAAAAAATAATAATATTTTCAAGATTTTCAACTCGAATATAAAGTACTTGACAATGAGTATCCAATAATGAATGACATAATGAAATACATTTTTCTTCATTGAAACAATAATAATAATAATCAAAATGGAATTTACGAATTGTTTTATTTGTTAATTTGAATAATGATGATTGAAATGATAATGATATATCTTGATGAATAATTAATTTATCTAGATTAGGTGCTTGATGAAGTAAAATTTGTAATTGAGAATAATAAGTATCAGTATAAGATATTATTTTAAGTGAATAGAGTCATTTTAAATTTGGAACTATAGACCAAAATTGGTTATTGATAGGAAGTTATATTTCAAGTTTCTGAATGTTTGGTAAACTAATATTAGAAGATATTGGTGAATTAAAAAAACCTATCGAAATTGATGTTAGTTCTAATCTTTAAATTGATTAATGTTGGAAAAGAAGAAGAAGATGATATATAATTACTAGTACAAGAAAAAATTGTTATTGAAGGATATTTAAGATAAGGTGTATATTCAAATAATTTACTTATTTGATTTCATTTAAGTTTATTATCATACATATTTAAATATTTGAGATATCTTGAAATAGAAAAAAAAATCATATACTTGTATGAAAATATCAGTATTACAATAAATAAGTTTAGGTAAATTCCATATGGTATTGACAATTGATTGTTAACCTGTTTGATCATATTGAAAATGAAAAGAGCAAGAATAAAAATTTAAATAATTGAGATGATTAAGATAATGACATTCGTCGATGATTTTCATTAATATATAATATGAATGAAGATGAAATATTGAAAGTGATCGTAATTGAGTAAATTGACTAAATGATGGTATGTAAAATCGAAATAGATTTATTTGTCCTGAAGTATTTTCATTATCGAAAAGACTAACGAGGGAACCGTTCCAACTGATTCACGCCGATTTTGCTCATATTTTGCCCATATGTATGGGTCATCATGATAAGAAAAAGCCTAAGAGAATTTGGGCCCATGGTGCTTTTTTCGAAGGTCATGACCATTTTACTGGTTTTTCAATCTACACCGCCGGACAAAAGTTTAGGACTTTTGATTTGTCTCAAATTTTGATTTGCTCATAGCTCGGTCAAATGGAATCGAACCACAATTCTGAACATACCGTTTTGTTCACTTTTTGATGCTCTTTCCGATGGTGTGTGAATCAAAGAGTTTACATTTGATTCGGCGGAGTTATTCTATTTTTCCGTGTTTTAGGTCTTCGCACTAAAACGCGATTTTCAACTTGAAGACGCGGGCTAAATTTAAATCTTTTTTTTACCGTACGATAGCCCTTGAAACTCCGCGTCGATCCATATGACTTTTACATCGCAAAAGAAAAATCTCTAGGTTAGGAAAGTCGAAATACTCAAAAGAACGATAACTCAGTTCCGTTGCAAAAAGAAGTTTTCGGTCGCGAAAATCAAAGTGGTGAAATCAAGTCTTCTAATTTATTGCATCTTGTAGAGGGTACGTCAGAGTATATAGACCAATGTTTGAACGAGCTTTGTATCACTCTCCATTCGCGAAGAAAATAAAAAACGTTTTTCTTGTGAAATCGGGTTATTGTCCTTTTGAGTATTTCGACTTTTCGAACCTAGAGATTTTTCTTTTGCGATGTAAAAGTCATATAGATCGACGCAGAATTTCAAGGGCTATCGTACGGTAAAAAAGGATTTAAATTTACCCGGCGTCTTCAAGTTGAAAATCGCGTTTTAGTGCGAAGACCTAAAAACACGGAAAAATAGAATAACTCCGCCGAATCAAATGTAAACTCTTTGATTCACACATCATCGGAAAGAGCATCAAAAAGTGAACAAAACGGTATGTTCAGAATTGTGGTTCGATTCCATTTGACCGAGCTATGAGCAAAACAAAATTTGAGACAAATCAAAAGTTCTAAACTTTTGTCCGGCGGTGTATGGCAAGGTATTTACGAAAACATCGAATGAAGAAATTTTAACCTGAAGTTTTGCCCATATGTAGGTCTCATGGTCCTTAGTATATGCTAAAAGTTTCAGGAAAAATGGATGTTCCATTTTCGAGATAATGAATCTGCAATAAATATCTGCATTTTATAGATCCCAGGTCCAAAAATCCGACGACGGATCCTATCGGACCCGAAAACCGACAAAAATCCGATCGGAATCCGGGTTACAGAATTCCGATCGGATCCGACAATCGGATACTCATACGTTTCCGATAATTTCCGATTGTCGAAATCCCCATTTATTCCGACGGTCGGATACCGATCGGATTTCTATAGGATTATATCAGTCTTTCAACCGAGGTCCAAAAAATCCGACAAAAATCCGATCGGAATCCGGCTTGCAGAATTTTCATCGGATCCGACAATCGCATACTCATACGCTTCCGATAACTTCCGATTGTTGAAATCCCCATTTATTCCGACGATCGGATACCGATCGGATTTCTATAGGACTCCATCAATCTTTGAATCTGTGGTCGATTTTATTTATTATGATAATGTTTGGAATCTAAATTTTACCTTATGTGAGCCGGAAAGTTTCATGATTTATAGCCACTGAAACGTAGTGTGTTTAATATAGGTTTTGGATTAAGGTGCAGCAGAATAGTTATTTTTTCTAGTATATAATGCCTTGATCAAGGAACTTATAAAATGCGGCTACCCGCGAGAAAGCTTGTTGACCTGATAACAACAAACTGTCTGTTTTCAACATGAGCACACAGGTTTCTATGAAGTACGAACTAAAAGAAGTGCTGAAGTACAGAAGTAGTAAGTTCGATTCTATGTTTCTGCCCAATTGACCAAAATATACACTAAAACAACATGTCGTTATCCGTTGTGACAAAAATCGTTTCAAACGTAGAGTCTTTTCAGTATATTCATAAATTCATAAAACAGAAAATTTTTAGTTTCGAAACTGTTTAAAAAGGTCTGAATATGATATTGAATTCAGTTAAATTATTTCATTTCTCGAAACGGCAACAAATGTATACCTAGATATCTCCATTCGAGCTTAGCACTGATATAAGTTACTATCCTATTGGATCACATCGGATTTTGAAAATTCAGTTCTGGAAATGAGCAAATATGCCTACCTTCGTAACTCGCTTGGAGCTTATCATTAATATAAGTTTCTACCATTTGGATCCGATGGGGATTTTGAAAACTGAGTTCTGGAAATGGCAAAAATGTACATCTACGTATCTCCATTCGAGCTTAGCACTGCTATAAGCTTCTATCCTATAGAATCCGATCGGATTTTGAAAATTGAGTTTTCGAAATGCCGAAAAATCCAAACTTCCATATCACCATTGGACTTTATCTTTGATATAGGTTTCTACCCTATAGGATCCGATCGGACTTTGAAAATTCAGATCTCGAAATGGCCAAAAAGGCGTACCTATATATTTCAATTGGAGCTTAGCATTAATATAAGTTTCTACCCTATAGGATCCGATCAGATTTTGAAAATTAAGTTCTCGAAGTGATCAAAAAGCCATACCTACATATAACTATTAAAGCTAAGCCTTCATACAAGTATCTATCCTATAGGATCCTATCGGATTTTGAAAATTGAGTCCTGGAAGTGATGAAAAAGGCATATCCACATATCTCCATTGGAGCTTATCATTGATATAAGCTTCTATCCTATAGGATCCTATAGGATCCGATAGGATTTTGAAAATTGAATCCTGGAAGTGATGAAAAAGGCATACCCATATATTTCCATTGGAGCTTACCATTCATATAAGCTTGTATCCTATAGTATCCGATCGGATTTTGAAAATTAAATCCGAAAGCGGTCAAAAGGCATACCTACATATAACTATTAAAGCTAAGCATTGATGTAAGTATGTATCCTATAGGATCCGACCGGATTTTGAAAATTCAGTTCTGGAACT